TAATGTGGATTATGTATTGTTTGATGCTTTGGGTGTGAGATGAAATTTTTTTAAATTTCAATTCTTTGAGATCTTTGGGTTGAGAGACACTGTGATATAGACAATGATATAGACAGTAATATAGACAGTGATATAGACAGTAATATAGACAGTGATATAGACAGTAATATAGACAGTAATATAGACAGTGATATAGACAGTGATATAGACAGTAATATAGACAGTGATATAGACAATAATATAGACAGTGATATAAACAGTAACAGTCAGTTTTGTAAAATCTCGCTATATGGCCGTAGAATAAATTTTTGGAGGAAAAATGAGTAGGTTCGAAAATTACAAAAATTTTATTATAAATTATGGAAATTTGTGCATTCGCAATTTTAAATTTGGGAATTCCAAAATTAATATGTTGGCAAATTTGAAAATTTGAAAACTTGAAGACTTGACAACTTGAAAATTTGACGACTTGAAAACTTGATAACTTGAAAACTTGACGACTTGACAACTTGAAAACTTGACGACTTGAAAACTTCAAAATTTGAAAACTTGAAAACTTGAAAATTTGAAGACTTGGAAACTTGAAAACTTGACGACTTGAAAACTTGAAAACTTGAAAACTTGACAACTTGAAAATTTGGAAACTTGGAAACTTGAAAACTTAAAAACTTGAAAATTTGACGACTTGAAAACTTGAAAACTTGAAAACTTGAAAACTTGAAAACTTGAAAACTTGAAAACTTGAAAACTTGAAAACTTGAAAACTTGAAAACTTGAAAACTTGAAAACTTGAAAACTTGAAAACTTGAAAACTTGAAAACTTGAAAACTTGAAAACTTGAAAACTTGAAAACTTGAAAACTTGAAAACTTGAAAACTTGAAAACTTGAAAACTTGAAAACTTGAAAACTTGAAAACTTGAAAACTTGAAAACTTGAAAACTTGAAAACTTGAAAACTTGAAAACTTGAAAACTTGAAAACTTGAAAACTTGAAAACTTGAAAACTTGAAAACTTGAAAACTTGAAAACTTGAAAACTTGAAAACTTGAAAACTTGAAAACTTGAAAACTTGAAAACTTGAAAACTTGAAAACTTGAAAACTTGAAAATTTGAAAACTTCGAAACTTGAAAACTTCGAAACTTGAAAACTTCGAAACTTGAAAACTTCGAAACTTGAAAACTTGACAACTCGATAACCCGAAAACTTGAAAACTTAAAATAACTTTCAAACCCTGTGACCCTTAAGTTTTCCTAACCAAAAAATTTCAAAATGTCACTATAGTACCTCTAATAACGCCGGTTGCAATATTGGCCAAATATCAGAAATTTCCTATACATGTAATCTTGCACCCAACGACCCGAAACAATACTAAACTGGGCCATGAAAGCCCGAAATCATTTTACGTTGCGTGTTTGTGCGGCAGTAAATTAATACAAGGAGGAAATTTCAAATTTAGTATCCTCGAATGGAGATGTTGAGCTGAAATAGGTTATGGTTAGTCCGATGGCTGCACGTGCGCTACTGCTGATACGAAATCATTCGAAAAACCAGCGATGTACTAAATGTTAGATATTCGACGCTACATCGCGACTTTAGATCTGCATGATTGTGTAAAAAACATGTATTATGATCTTAAAATGGTGGTATATGAACATCACGTTCATAACTTTAAGAAATAACCTAACTTTTTTAAAATGTATCAAGTTTTAAAAAAAATTTTTTAATCAATTTAAGGTGCAATATTGTTCCTCTATGCATTAACTATTTTTGAAGTATCTTTTATTTTATGAATTAATATTTTATTGATTTGTTTTATACTATTTTTATGTGGTGTCAAATATCAAACAGTCTGCAATTTTTTATTTAATAATTTTTTAGATGATTTTTGTGAACCAGACTTTTGAAACACCCTGTATATTGTACTATGAAGGAATTAGGTCAAGCCAGCTAATACATTTTTCAATTTACGGATCTGTCAAACATTCCTTGCTACTGTTTTTTGAAGTTACTCGGTTTACAAATATTTTTATAACCTTTCGAAGGATTTACATAACCCACAAGTATTTAATTTGCACAAAAATTTTAATATAGACGTGAAATTACTTTGCAACAAATTTCAAATTGATTTTCGTACGACTGGAATGAATTTTCAAATTAATTTGAAATCGATTTTTGCGTTAATTTCAACAGAGAAATTAATTTTCATACAAATTAGTTTCCAAGCAAATTACAAATAAATTTTCAAATAAATTAATTTTTGCATAAACAAATCGAAACCGTCGAATGGGCAAAGTGTAAAAAATAGTTGACCTTGAGAAGAATTAGTTTGTGCTCATAAGTTTGCGCTTAGAAGCTGAGGAGAGAAGATTTTGCTTGCTGAAAGAGTGTCGTGAGGATCCGATAATTATGATAGCATTGTTTGCGATAGCCGCACACCTTTCTCTAACAAGCTGTGTACAAAGATGCTAGTAGTATCGGGTATGTCTCTATTAAATGTTTTCCCGAGGTACTTGACGTTGTTTAGTGGCCGCGCTACTTCACACGATGAAAATGAATAGCACATCGATAAGCGCAACTCTCCAACTTGAAGAAGGGCGTTTACTTTCTTGCATGCAGGAAAGGTGACGCTGGAACGGCCTTCTTACAACGCTGTGAATCGGTTTTCTTACAAGAAGGTGGTATTCTTTTGTTTCGAGACCCTCGATTCTGTTTTCATACGGTGCAAAACATAAATACAAAAGATTTTATAACAAACATCAATCGTACTGGGAATTATAGTCTACTTATTCTTATAAATATTTTAATGTCATTTATAATACTGTATTTATAGACTCTCGTTATATTGCACAAAAATATTAATCTTTTTTACTGTTGATTCTCGACAAATGGATATTAGTAGCTGTTTGCAGTTCACTCTTGTTATATTGCAGATTAATATTTGTTTACAGTTGACTCTCGATATATTGCATAAAAATATTAATCTTTATTTACTGTTCATTCTCGACGAATGGATATTAGTAGCTGTTTGCAGTTCACTCTTGTTATATTGCAGATTAATATTTGTTTACAGTTGACTCTCGATATATTGCATAAAAATATTAATCTTTATTTACTGTTCATTCTCGACGAATGGATATTAGTAGCTGTTTGCAGTTCACTCTTGTTATATTGCAGATTAATATTTGTTTACAGTTGACTCTCGATATATTGCATAAAAATATTAATCTTTATTTACTGTTCATTCTCGACGAATGGATATTAGTAGCTGTTTGCAGTTCACTCTTGTTATATTGCAGATTAATATTTGTTTACAGTTGACTCTCGATATATTGCATAAAAATATTAATCTTTATTTACTGTTCATTCTCGACGAATGGATATTAGTAGCTGTTTGCAGTTCACTCTTGTTATATTGCAGATTAATATTTGTTTACAGTTGACTCTCGTTATATTGCACAAAAATATTAATCTTTTTTACTGTTGATTCTCGACAAATGGATATTAGTAGCTATTTGCAGTTCACTCTTGCTATATTGCAGATTAATATTTGTTTATAGTCGACTCTCACTATATTGCATATAGACATATTTGTTTGCAGTTGACACTTGCTATATTGCAGTTAAATATTAATATTACAGTTGCCTCTCGTTATATTGCAAGTCAGTAATGTCTTTAAACTTGTCTCTCGATATATTGCATAAAAATATTCATCTTTATTTACTGTTCATTCTCAACATATCGCAAATGGATATCTAGATTTGTTCACTCCTGCTATATTGCAGGTTAATATCTGTTTATAGTTGACTCTCACTATATTGCATATAGACATATTTGTTTGCAGTTAACACTCGCTATGTTGCAGTTAAATATTAATATTACAGTTGCCTCTCGTTATATTGCAAGTCAGTAATGTCTTTAAACTTGTCTCTCGATATATTGCAATTTTTTGAAACAAAAATAAAATCGTGCAAAAAACAGAATCGAGGGTATATAACCTTATCCTTTCGCAGGGAGAATATTTATAAATTATCGGAACAGGATTCGGATTTCAATTTACTTTCTTCTTCTCAAACTATCGCTAAATTCTTTCTCCCTAATTTCCTGAAAGTCAAACGATTGCCGCCTACATTTCTCATTGTCGATTGCTGCACATATGTGTTATGATACACGCGTATGTACACGCCTGTGTTGCGTGTGTTGTATATTATACGATTATGTTAGAGATATATTATATATATTATAAGTATAAATACGAAGATATTATGTACAACTGCCATATGATCATGGAACGAGATCATTCTTCGTGTTCAAATAAACCAGGCTTTGTTTTACCAATCGATAAAATAATATTCGCTGTAAATACAACGTGGTTGTGTTATTTATAATAATTGCATTGTGCGAATTGTTCCTACTCTGTGTATTTTTCTTGTTACAAAGTCAACACTCGATGCTGTGTTTACCGTGAACTTCAGGGAAAATGGAGGACAAGGTTCAAGGAGATTGTGCCGACGAATTATGTTTAAAAATAAACAAAGCGATTAAAAAATTTCAGTCTGTAGTTTGCTATGTTTGCAGACTTAAAATTTTTAGTTCCGTGAATTTTGATTTTTTAAACAAAGCGATGTACTAACAAATTATAAGATTTTTGTACTTAATAGTTTCGTAGCTTGCAACGCAAATAATTCTTCAAGTTAACAATCTTACAATTCAAAAATAAGAAATTTGAATATTTCTTTCTACACACGAAGAATCACCTCGTGTATCTATCCATCTCTTGTACTTTCCGTTTTGAATCGTTGCACCGCCATTACAGTCACAATCTGTACAATACGTAGCCATTTATATAATATATAATATATCGCGCGAGACACGCTGCATATACACGGTGTACAAACGAAGCATGCATCGGGTGCATATAATATATGCAGTCTTAATTATAAGATAGCAGACGAGTGCCTTCATCGAGATCGATTTTAGTCGTGGTTCGATGGTTTTTCAGCGACCTTGAGAAGTACTTCGAGTATCAGGGTCAGGACTACATTTGCTCTCGTCCCGACGACAACGGAATGCACTCTTGCAGTAACTTGCCACCGCTTAAGTTTGGTGAGTGCACTTTTCTCTCTTCTTTTTCTATCGAACTTTTTATTTTTCTTCGTCTGGGATGTTCTGTTTCATCGGAACGCTGTTGCTTCGACCGCCACATGGCCAAAACTATTTTATTAAGGTTGAAAATTATTGTTTCAACTTACTGGATATTTCAAAATGTTTTTTTCATTAACAAACTTTCAGTTTTGTGCTATTAAATGTAGGAGAAATTAATTTCTGAGGGGGTCAGTTAAAAATAAACAATGCTTGAACAGTTAATGATTCACAATAATATTGTTGGTAGTACTTAATGTCACTATAAATTAAATTTGCACGCCAAGTTTTAAATATAAGCGCAGTAAGTAACCTACACGCAATAAATAATTGCGTAGCCAGTAACTGATTGCGTAGTAAGTACTTGCGCAGTGGGTAACCTACGCGTAGCGAGTAGTTACGCAGTAGTTAACTGTGTAGCGAGTAACCTACGTGCAGCGAGTACTTGCGCAGTAGCTAACTGTGCAGTGAGTACCTACGCGTAGCGAGTAGTTGCGCAGTAGCTAACTGCGCAGTGAGTTACCTACGCGTAGCGAGTACTTGCGCAGTAGCTAACTGCAGCGAGTTACCTACGCGCAGCGAGTACTTGCGCAGTAGCTAACTGTGCAGCGAGCACCTACGCGTAGCGAGTAGTTGCGCAGTAGTTAGCTATGCAGCGAGTAACCTACGCGCAGCGAGTAGTTGCGCAGTAGCTAACTGTGCAGCGAGCGCCTACGCGTAGCGAGTAGTTGCGCAGTAGCTAACTGCGCAATGAGTTACCTACGCGTAGCGAGTACTTGCGCAGTAGCTAACTGCGCAGCGAGCACCTACGCGTAGCGAGTAGTTGCGCAGTAGCTAACTGCGCAGCGAGTAACCTACGCGTAGCGAGTAGTTGCGCCGTAGCCAATTGCGCAGCGAGTAACCTACGCGCAGCGAATTATTGCGCAGTAAATAGCTGCACAGTACCGCATCGGGCCCACTCTCTCATTAAAACGAGAACTACATTGTTTACACAAAGAACAAAGAATAAATGGTTGAACCATTGTTCCCCGATGATAGAACGAGATTGCAGAATCGATTGAAATGCTTGCAGGGAACGTGGTTTGCAACAACACCGCGTTACCGAACAACAATACAACGTTTATCACCAACGACACCTGCGTTAATTGGAATTACTACTATACGGAGTGCAAAGGTCAGGGCAACAATCCTTTCCAAGGGACAATATCGTTCGATAATATTGGCCTTGCCTGGGTCGCAATATTTCTCGTGAGTGTCCTACTTCTTTCATCTTCAGTAATGGAAACTTTGTATTAGCCAAAATGCTTCCAATTATCTAATTTTAACCCTTTATACTCCGCGGACTTTTCTGCAACATTGAGCGTTCATTTTGCTCTTTTCAGTCGGTATTAATATTTTGTACATCTTTTGTGTCGCGATTCGGACTCAAGGTTGCTCTTAAATCGAACGCAATTTTTAAATATTTGCAATGTAGAAATTATTTTACAGGGCGATTCAGTGACGATGTCCGCTAATTTTTAACTGTTTTAAATAATCTATAAATTACATAATACTATAAATATAGAAATTGACATTTTCTAAAAATATGTTTATTAATAATAAAAATGTATTTGATCTTCACTTCTGAAGAAACTATACGAGTTTATCAGACTGACAGTAGATTAGTTTAATTTATTAGTATGAGTATTACGTTGATGGATGTTCTTCTAGGTAATCAGTCTTGAAGGATGGACAGACATAATGTACTACGTGCAGGATGCTCATTCTTTCTGGGACTGGATATATTTTGTTCTTCTAATTGTGGTACGTTCCTAATCTGTCTCGTGTTCTACATTTCTACTCATTTCCTACAAAATCAATAACTATAAAAATAAGATAATTTATCAAAATAAATTTGCATTGCAGATCGGTTCCTTCTTCATGATCAACCTCTGCTTAGTCGTAATAGCAACACAGTTCTCAGAGACGAAGAAACGCGAAATGGAACGAATGCGACTGGAACGTGCTCGTTTTCATTCCACATCAACCCTTGCGTCATCGACGAATACTTCCGAACCAACCACGTGTTACGCAGAAATTGTCAAGTGAGTTACATAACTTCAGTTTCGAGAAAGTTGCAAGTGGTCCATTAGGTTGAAAGATGTGGAAATAAGTTCCTTCAGAAACCTCCGTTCTTCAGATATAATTTCATGTAATTTCACCGTATGTCCTCAGATATATCGCACACTTATGGCGGAGGGGTAAGAGAAGACTAATGAAGAGGTATCGAGTGTATTTGTACAAAAGGCAGCAAAAACGCGAGCAAAATTTACTTAAGGAACAGAGACCCGGCCATCCGTTTCGTGGGGGTGTGAGCGGCGCAGATTCCAATCGATCAGGTATAGTCCTTTCGGGAGAGTCTTTCAACCCTTACCGAAGGTAGACACGTAGATTTTAATTAAAACTTTTATTCTCGCAAATAGAACCGACACTTCAAACGATGTTTGTCAGACGACCACGTTAGATGAATCATCCTGTATATTGTGCTTGTTATAAATAACCTCCAAGATAAACTTTCCTACGTAGCAGGAAACATTCCTAGTCCAACCTTGATTTTATCTAGAATAATTATAAAATTCTTTAACCTCAATGTTTTTTAATTTCAAGTGTCTCAAAATATTACAGTACTATTTCTGTCCATTACTGTTTTAATAATATACGGACTTACTATAACCACTAATAGTAATAACAGTGAGTAATAATAATCGTTTTATAATTGTTTTATTGCAATTCAGATAGGAGGCTGCACTACGGACGCTGTCCCCGTCTGTTGGCAGCCCTGGAATACGCGGAACAACAACAACAGGGTATCGGTAGCGGCGATGGCTCGTTGGCAGATTTCACGGCCAATAGTCCTCCATCGCAGGGTGCAATTCTGGGTACCGCAGTTAGCAATAATGGGAGCAACGGAAATTTAGCGGTTGCACCCCGCGCCAGTCCTGAAATTTCCGAGGCAGATGTTTCTTCGAATGTCTGCCATCGTTTAGGTCTGCATAGAACTTCCTCCGCGTCCTGCAATGGCAGCGACAACGTCGTCTCTAACGCTACCGAAGCCAGCATACAGGTGAGTGCTTCATCGCGTTCTCTTTTTATGTCTTCAAGTATTTGTGGTGGCTTTTGACACGTATTCTACATATTTTAATTTCAACAAAAATTCTGTTTTCTCAGGAACAAATTTAAAATTTCATTTGACGAGGACACAAATGACGTGTTATTTGAAGGACACTTTATTATACACTACATTTACACAGTACATAATTGTATGCAAGACTAAGTTACTTCACAAAGATATTCTTGCATGATGTAGAATTTTGAATAGCATTCGTATCGCTGAAATTGAGAAGTATGCAAGAATTCTCCTCCTCCACCCTGTCATAGCCGGAACATATACATAATCATAGCAATCATATAGCAATCACAAATTTCTTCTCGCATCAGAAAATCCTTGCGTATTTAATTAAAGTCGAAATCCAAACAGTCGAAGTTGAACTTAAAATCTTTTTAATACTCATATATTCGATCGAGTAACGTCAAAATTAAAAGAGACATTAAACCGTGTAGAAATGGCCGTTTCGAGAGCTAAAGTAAGCCTGAGTTCACAGAAATGGATTCCGAACGACAGAGCGCCGCCATTTGCACGGTAACTCACGCACAGCCATCATCACCATCTTTTAACTTCATGAATATTCGGCATTCTTCTTCAGACAAACAACGCGCTGCTAAGTCCGCCTTGTACGCATTATCGTAGAAGAAGTAGCGTGATGTTCAACGATGTGGTGTTGTTGCACGGTAGCAATAGCGTGGGAAACGCATTGCAGGCAGGATCCATGGTGTCACCTGGCGAACGGAACGTGTGCTCGAGCGAAAAAATGACGCAAACCGGAGACGGCAATGTTTGGTCCAGTCCACTGCCAGATCACATACAGGTACTCAGCTTCTTATGATTATCTTTCACTTTGGTTTTGGAATTTTGGGTTGGGAATTTAAGTATGTGGGAATTTGGGGATTTTATCATTTGGGGGTGTCGTCATTTTTAGTAAGGGTGTGGGGATCTAGTTGGGGATTTGGTGGTTTAGGTATTTGGTAGTTCAGGGATTTGCTGGTTTAGGTATTTGCTAGTTCAGGGTTTGGTAATTTAGGCATTTGCTAGTTCAGGGGTTTGGTGGTTTCGGTTTCTGAAATTTTGGAGATGGGTTAAGAATTTAAGAATGTGGAAATTTGGGGATTTTATCATTTGGGGGTGTCATCATTTTTAGTAAGGATGTGAATCTAGTTTAGGGTTGACCAGGAATTAGTAATTCATACTTCAGGACACAGAGATGCAAGGATCTAGCTAATTTACAGATATAGGAATCTGTTAACCTAATGTTACAGATGCAGGCTGAGTTGGGTGGAAACGAGGCTATGACTTGTCAAGAATTATTAGCACTGAGCGGTGCTTTGAGCGCTGCATTACCGACTGGGCAGTTGGCTTTGGATTCTTTCCTCAACTCGCTCACGAAAGGTATGGCCGTTCACCTCGAAAGTTAATACACTCAATACTCAAAAATTTCACAATTCAACCAATCGTATATTTGTTAATTCACTAATTTTCGAGTGAACAAATCCAGAAATGTACATATACAACACTTTAACAACAGAGGAACACATAAATTTTGCATTTAAAACTTGCGACCTAGTCGGCAGTTGTCCGCCATTTGCACGTTCGCTGCGCCCTCTGTCGTCGCTCCAAGAAATCTCAGTTACAGAAATCCTCTACAGTCTTCTGAAATATTCGGATACTTTTTACTGGAGTATTTCAACGTACTAGAATTATATTACAAGAAATACTTTCAGGAATAACGGACCGCCACATCACTCTAGAAGACCGTACCCAATGGTTGGTAACAGACGTAGACAACTGTTCGTGTTGCTGCGAACACCAAGGCACCGATCAGTGGCCCGACGAAGGTGACAAATGGACAAAAGTTTCTCGGACGAAAAGAGTCCTAAAAACCTGCGGAAGCCGTTGTGTCTGCGCGATACGCTGCATAAGACGTTCGATCAAGAAGCTCGTTGAGCACAAATACTTTCAACAGGGTATTTTATTGGCAATTTTGATCAATACTTTGAGCATGGGAATAGAATATCACAACCAGGTCAGTACTTATCGTTAAATCTGATACCCGTTTATCTCTTCCGAAGAATGAAGTTAATGTCCCGCCCTTGAAAATGTGTTTATTGAACATGGCGTTCTTTTCTTACTCGTTTGTGAACAGCCAGAGCAATTGACTGTGGTGGTTGAAATAAGCAATATTGTATTTTCGGCGGTCTTCGCCGTGGAAATGTTGTTGAAGATTATCGCCGAGGGCCCGTTTGGTTACATCAGCAACGGGTTCAACGTCTTTGACGGGGTCGTTGTGGTCCTCAGGTATGTCCACAACCACATTCTTTGCTCTGATGATATAATAGTCATTTGATCATTCACTTAACTGGACAGCCATTCAGTTTGTCAGTTAGTCCCTCAATCTAACTGCTGTAAGAAAATTTTTTGTTGACAATGGCAATGGTCCTCAGATATGTCCACATCACTGCCACATCCACATTCTTTGCTGCAATAAGACATTAGTCAGTCATTTGATCATTGACTCAACTGGACAGCCATTCAGTTTATCAGTTAGTCCCTCAATCTAGTTGCCATAAGAAAATTTTTTGTTGACAATTGCAATGGTCCTCAGATATGTCCACATCATTGTCACATCCACATTCTTTGTTGCAACGAGCTAATAGTCATTTGATCACTCACTTAACTGGACAGCCATTCAGTTTATCAGTTGTTAGTCCCACAATGAAATTGCTATAAGAAAATTGTTTGTTAACAACGCAGTGTCGTGGAAATCTGCCAAGCCTTCGTAGAGGAGCGCAGCGGCAGCTCGGGTCTGAGCGTCCTGAGGACGTTCCGTCTGCTGAGGATCCTAAAGCTGGTGCGCTTTTTACCGAACCTGCGTCGCCAGCTGTTCGTGATGCTGCGTACCATGGATAACGTTGCCGTATTCTTTTCCCTTTTAGTACTTTTCATCTTTATATTCAGGTAAGTCGTTCCACTTCCTCTTAGGCAGTGTTGTCGCGGTTGTCCCACCGTCGGTACACGTAAATCGAGGCTGCACGTTCCAGGATCGCGAATCGCGCCAGGTATCATAGTCGCGTCGCGCACACTTAATCTCGACGTATGATTACGTCGCGTACTGGAACCGTCCGGTGAATCGATGGACAGTTAACGAGGTCTCGCAACAAGGTCTCGTTTGAAAAGCTTCTCCGTTTGGAAGCTGATTTTCTCTTCGAACACGAAGTGTACCAAGTGACTGTATCTTCCGTTTTCTGTCTTCTCTTCTTCATGCGCTTTCACTTTCTCATCGCATATATTATATTATATATAAATATATGGATCGCGTGAACGCATCACATAGATGACCGAGTCGCAGCGAATCGTACCATATAATACCGACTCTGTTGCGTTTGCGAGCAGCGTTCTCTAACGTTGTAATGGTAATGACGATGGGTGTTTGTTGGCACGTTTACAAGGGGTGCCTTGTCGGCCCTTTGTCATGGCTTGAGGCATTGAACGTATACATTACTTTCTACCGTTTATTAGAGGACATTTGTACGTATGAATATCGATATGAATATCTGTATATATGTACATGTTCGTACGCTCGTGTGCGCTTTTAGGAGAAAGCTATGCGCGCTGTGAATGATGCAAATTTTTCCTCGAAGCAAACGGAATCGAAAAGCCCTTTTGCGTTTTTTTGATACGACCCTTCGTTTCCGAAATATCGAGGGTCGAAGGTTTGTCGCTTGGCAGGACGCCATTTTGGGAAGACTGATAGTCAAAATGGCGCGGGTGACGCGTCGTTCGTTACTGCTGCGGAGCGCATTTTTATTGGATTCGTGTCAGTTTTTGATTTAATGACGCTTGTAATTCTTTCACTCTCATACGTGATTTATTACTTACACGTTTTTACAAGAAATTATTTTGACTGCTTTTAAAATGCCGAGCTTACAAAAATATTTATCTAAAAAGTACTTTGTAGCGTACATTATTAATTAAATTTAATAACCATGTATTTTTGTCGAAATTTTTCAAATAGCAAAATGGTAACGAAAGTTTCGATTTCCGGTACCGTAGGGAATTTTGTAGTCATGCGTCTTCTCCTGAGGCGTACACGGTGTACGAGCATATACGTGTATATATATATTTTCGTGTGTGCATGCAGCTTTTATCTATCGACAAATATATGTATATACTATACGTGTGTGTGAATATGCATACAATAGTGTGTAAACACACACACACATACACACACACGTTATTCACCTATTGATTATTCGTGTATTCGTACGTTTTTTTATTATTCTATTGTCCCCTCTGTTCTTTTGTTTGCTATGTACTCTAAGTGCCTACAAAATGCGCCTCGGTGTGGTCATCGATATTAGACAGCTTGCGAATGGATAATATGTACCTTTTTTCGGTTATTTGATTATGCTGCGTATACCGGCTTCTCACTATTTCGCGTTTGAATATCATTCGACGGTTTAATCGATCACTCATCGTAATCACTGTTACTTTTTATTTCGCCCATTTTTTTCGTCGACAATTTTCAAATAATTTGTCGCTCTTTTTGCTTTTGTATCATTTTTTGGATTGAGGAGTTGCATAGTTCTGAAAGAATATAAGTCACTTTACAATTAAGCTTTCAATGAAATTGAGGATGCAACCAAATTGAGATGCAATTTTATAGTGATGAAAATAATTTAATTAAAGACTGAATTTTTACCTGATTAATTCTGTACTATTGACACTTCGAATTTGACGAAATGTTAATAGTAGAGAATAGTGTCAAAATTTTTCACAGTAGACTTTCGTTATATTGCCGTACCGGTGGCGCCAAATATGGAGATTTACAGAAATTATTTAGATATCAAGGAAAAATGTAAGAAGATATTAAAATAAAGAAACCACTAAATAAATGTACTATCAACTACAAGATGTAATATAACGTGAAGTATAAGGTATGCAATATAACGAGAGTCTACTGTAAAGTCAATGATCGAACAAAACTTGATTAAACTTTGAAAATAATCAGGAAAAATTATAAATTGCCAAGGGTATATATGTTTCAGTAAAGTGTCGGCAATATATCGAGAGAATTTTTGTTGGTAAAAAAATTGAAGTAAAATAACAAATAGGTTAAGGTTAGGTTCGCGAGCGGCCATAACGTGTCGGCAATGTATTATTTTAAGTACGATTTGATTTATTTGATTACGATCATACCGTCCCGATATTTGGCCACTTTCTCCCCGTCTCGTGTCTGACTCTTTCTCTGTACACATATTTATCTATCTATATATTTACGGATAAGGAAGTACATTGCACGTTTCGTTGTGTTGTAGTATTCTCGGGATGAACCTGTTTGGTTGCAAATTCTGTGAAACGATGAAAGGCAGCTCTGACGTCGAGTGTGATAGGAAAAACTTTGACTCGTTACTCTGGGCTATTGTGACGGTGTTTCAGGTACCTACAAAGGATACTTTTCCACGTATCCCTCGAGGGTTTTTTTCTCTCCTCTATAATAGTGTATATTATATTATATATATAATACACACGTATATATAATATATACATATATATATTCGTATACATATTAACGTTACACACGCATTCACGTACCGCTAAGTTACCATACCTACTACGTATTGTTACATTTTGTCATTGAACGCTGAACCTCCTCGTACGAGCGCAGACTGTCCACTTTTATGATTTCGTGTGGTGTAAAGGTAACGTATGAGAGATACACGAGACACCTAATGGCATGCCGCCGTATCGAGGTAGGAGGAGGTCACGAATCATTCGAGCAATTGAACCTGATGATGTTTCTTCGCTTTTTCTGCTCGTTTACTCGCAGTCGTCGCCTAACGAGTGTTACTTCAAAACGAAAAGACATCTTGTGCGACGCGTTATTGTCACATCGTCGCGCGTCGAACTGAGCCCTTGGACATGCTTCGGCCATTGCAGTATTGTCTCTCTAACTGGCGAGCTTCATCCTTGATGAGCGTTCATGCGGCTTGTAATTGTCACAGACACAATTAAAAACACACCAAGCCCCCTTTCAGGTTAGCCAGAGGCTACGCCAACTGACTAGTTTGAAATGGGCCTGTAATTACGCGCTGCAGACTGTAAACACTGCAAAGCGGAAGACTCTTTGTTCGTGCCTTCATTTTCTCTACGCGTACGCTTTCTGGATTCGCACGTTTCTATTGACTGGGGAATCGTTGTTACCTCTTTTATTTCAGCCGAGGACGTTCAAATAATTTCCACACTTAGCAATCTGTGAAAATTCTATGAAAATTATTCGATACGTCAGCTAGCATGTAGTTATTAAAAATTTAATAAAGTTGTATTTTTCACTGATGACAGTTTTTTTCTATTATTTTTACAATATACATTTTATTATATTTATTATCTATATTGTTAAAACATCAAGTATTAACATTTATAATAAAAAAAGTACGAAACAAGTAAATAAGGAAGCGTGACTGACTACGTATAATTACCCATAGTGCGTTGCGTCTGCGCATGCGCGCCAGCGGTCGTAATGGCGGCCGAATACTCGATCTTCAGTTGCCCATATTTCGAAAACAAAGCAGATTGCTAAATTGTACAGGACATTTTCACAAAATTTATCAATGAAACTCAATTTTTCGAGAGTGCATCTCTTTTTTAAGGTATATACCACAGAATTTAATATTGAAATAAATATTTGTTCTTGATAAAAGATCAGGCGCGAACCTCGTGTCATTTGGAGAGATAATACTGTACTTGCTTTGTGTTTCTCGTTGCGATCGCGATTTCTGTACGGTTTCTTTAAGTTTATTCATTTAAACTAGCTTGTGACTGAATTTCGTAATATTAAACATCATTGGAATTCTAGTTTTGTTACAATTGAGAGTTTGCTTGAAAATGTTTGAAAAAGATAATGCACTTGTGCTTTTTATTAAAGCAGCGACGCTTTGCGATAAATATATTATAATTATCTTTTTATTTAAAATATTTTTACTGATTCACAGATTGTCACAGAATTTTTAATAGATTCAAAGTAAAGGCAATGAAATTATTTTAAAATATAGAAAAAATTGCAAAAGGCAAAAATTAGAGTGAAGAGACCTTCCCCAATGAAAGTCAGCCTAAATTCCGAAACTTTTAGAAATCGTTCAGGAAACGTGCTGAGAGTCGACGAACAAAAGATCTTACATCACACTTTCTAAGAATTCATCACCCCACGTTTTCGCATCCGAGTTAAATAAGCGAACTAAAAAATTCGTGTCGCAGGTATACGATGCCTTCCTCAAATTTTCGCTCGACAGAATTGTGATATAAGTTCTTTACTAGATTGTTAATCTTGCAAGAGACTGTGACTGCATATTCAAGCTTTCGTCTGTTTACGTTATTTGATTGTTCTTATGGTTGTTATACGTGCAGTTTTTGCTTATTGTTAGCCTGCTCTTCTATCACGAAGTGTTTCTTCTTCTGGTACTAGGTTGCTGACAGTTATTGCTGAGACGATTGTCCAGAATATTTAATTTTCTCGCATCAGCACGGCGAACAACGGCCGTTTTTTCGTGTCAATGTTTTTCAGCTTTGATCGTACTCTTGGTGCATGTTTTATTGTCGTTCATATTCTATTTACGCTTTGCATGTTGGTACGCGTTAATGATCATTGTTGCTTCCCATCGCTGTTAACCCTGACCGTTTTTCAAATACGCACACATCTCCTTACAGTATCTACATTCGATCATACATTTCGTTACACTGTGAAAAACGGCAAATGATACAAATTCAGGGAATCTTTAACTGTCTAACAAGGTTGTCCTCTCCGATTTTCATGAAATTTAAACTGATACTAGTTCTGGGTGTACGTAACACGTCTCTGCAATTTTATAGTCGAACGACAAGGCATTGATGAGAAAAATATATTGCAAGGTTGAAGTGTACTGATGTCAACCCATGAGTTGTCGCGTGACCTGAAGCTCTTCGCGCGCCAATTCGTGACGTCCGTAATTTACAAATTTATAAATTCAGAAGGAAAATTGTCAAGTTTGAATCAAGTTCCATTTTGCGCTACTCGGAGGCCATTTTGTTCTCGTGACTTTGAGAGGTTTAGCGACCAGTTAGAGTTCCCTGTGAAATAAAAATAAAAAGCGAATAAAAAAGACCATGAACCTCACACTAGAAGGCACACGATACCACATTCGGCCCTGCCATGAATTTTTAACAGTGTAGCAAAACTCGCGTCATTCCGTATATTCAGTGTCATTGATTGAGAATTATAATATCAATACATTGATTTGTTCTGCTCTAACTCTTCGGTTTCACACAGTTTTATCTCTGTTACCATTCGTTTCGCTCACTTTCTCTCTGTTTCTCTGATTTTTCTCTCTACTTACTTTTTTGTCCGACTTTCACTTTGTGTTCCAATCGCGTACAAAACATCCGACGGGTTAGAATAAATCGTTGCGCGGATACGAACACGAATACGAACAAAACGCGCGCAATCAATCCTACAAATTGAGAAAACGTCGTCCTACCATACGATAAATCGTGAAGGGAAACGATACAACCGTATATTCCACATGTAATTGCGTACGGTTTGCGTATTATTATTGTTAATACCTCTCCGTTGGCCACTGTAAATAGACACGTTTATTTATCCAAATACCCAGACCCGTGCCACTCAGTTCCCACGTAGACATTTATTAAGTTATTGCAAATCGAATGATCCACTTCAAATTATCTTCAATAAATTCTTCAAATTATTTTCAATAAATTCCTCGAAACAGTAAAGACAGTTTAAGTACTCTTAAAACAATAATTAATTAAAAATCTCCATAATCTCTTCTCCATAAAAAATGTAATAGACCCAATAAAAATTGTATTGGAAAGTTTTATTATAAACCAGTAAACTTGCTTGTAAAAGTATATTGATTGAACGACGCTTACCGGTCCGCCATTTTGTGCAACGAAGACCGCGTAATGGCGGACGCTCACCCGTCCGCCATGTTGCGCAACGAAGACCGCGTAATGGCGGAGTCTCGGACATTCCGAATGCAATAACTTAGTATTTTAGAAACATATAAGATTCGTAACAATATTACAGATACTGCTAATATCGATAGCTAGTGTGTATTTGTGCAACCAGCCGCTAAAAATTCGTTCAATACTTTTAACCTTATATTTAGAGATTATATTTACGCTTCGCCATCTTTCGTTTCTCTATCTCTCTTTTTTCTCCTCTCCTGTAAACCTTGACTGTGACATTCTGCAACGTTGGGTACCTCGTGTCTTTTGTTTTTTTTTTGTGTGAAAAGTGAAGTATAGTCTTTTTAATTTGTAGATCTTGCGGGTAAATTTAAATTTTTTGAGGCAATTTCTTTTTTGGTATTTTTATAGTTAAGAAAGTGATGATATAAGGGAAGTAATAATGTTTATATAGAAGTTAGGTTAGGTTATGATATTACTTAGATTAGGTTATATAACAGATGGCGCCATGTGAACAAGTATTTTGAACATTATAATACAAATAACAATTGAAAGGTAAAATCTGATCAACAAATTAGACAAAAATGCTAAAGAAACTTACATAAAAAGAATCTAAAAAATCTATGAAACTCGACAGAAAATAAAATTTGACTTCTATGAAATTTCACAGAAAATTTAAGCAACAAAATTTACAAAAAACATCTAAGCAATTATTTTAAACAAATTTTCCACTCACCACAAATTATATAAAAATATGACAAAATTCACAGCAACATTTCTGTATTTTTTTATTTAATTACTGTTACCATATTTGTATCAACTTACAGCTTGTAAAATATTCGCTTAACGAGTATCAGGTTGAACAAGTTCGTTTGCATATTAAAAATCTTGTACCTTTTTTTATCGGTCCTCAGGTAATTTATGTACATAATTGCATAATTTTTTAAAGCTTCCTTTTTGAAAATGTTTCTACCGTTTATGGGAAGATTAATGATTTTTTAAAGAGTTCATTTTGTAACATACGGTTTTGCGTTATACTGTATTAGCATTATTCCGAAGGGAAATGGAACATCGCGATTTATCGACTCCGATAATTTTTCGAGTACCTTACTGAATTGTAGGTTCTTGGCAGAAATTCAAGATGGACTTGGCAAGTTGTTTTTCGATTTTTAAAATCACTTTCGCGATGTTTATTTGGGATGCTGAAAGCTTTCGAGATTATGTCGATTTATATGTGTAGCTTATTACTGGAGCAAATTTTGGGAATTTAGTTACTGTCTATGGCGAACATTAAATAGAAAAAGTTTTTGAAAAAAAAATTGTTAAATGTTTTTAACAAAATTGTTAAATAAATAGTCAATTATTTTTAACAAAATTGTTAAAGGGACTGTTAAATGTTCTTAACCAAATTGTTAAAGAAAATTGTCATAAATTGTTAACATAATTATTAAACAAATTTTCAAATGTTTTTTTAACAAATTTTCTAACAAAATTGTTTGAGGAAATTGTTAAAGAAATAGTCAATTATTTTTAACAAAATCATTAAACAAAATTGTCAAATCTTTTTAACAAAATTGTTAAATAAATAGTCAATTATTTTTAACAAGATTGTTAAACAATATTGTCAAAGGATTTTTAAAAAATTTTATAACAAAATTGTTAAAGAAATAGTTAATTATTTTTAACAAAATCATTAAGAAATTGTCAAATATATTTGAAAAAATTTTCTAACAGAATTGTTTAATAAAATTGTTAAAATTATAACAGGTTTACTGTTGAAAGTCGAACGAACTTGTTACAGAATCTGTTGAGCTGTAAATGTTTGTTATTTTTGTTAGAAATTTAATCAGATATAATTATTGTAAAATTTTTGTATAAACTGAACAGGTGCACCGATCTTGCAGAATGTGACTGTGTGAGCTTCGAGTGACAGTTCTGCTGTTCACACGATATACCTGCTTAAACACTGCCAATGGAGCGTCTTTAATTACATTTGTTAATTAATTATTCTGGGTCAACCATAGGTTTGTTACAGTTCTTTCCATTTGGATAGTAATTATTAAATTAATTATTAAATCTAACATTGAAATAATTTTCTAAATAAAAAAATTGTTGAAAAATTCAAATGTAGAATAATATACATAAATACAAGCTAAAATATATCAAATTATATTAAATAACTAAAATGCAGTCTGAAGAAATATTTAAATAACAAAATAAAGGAATTTTCAATAACAATTTTTTTTAATTGTTTATTAAGAAAACAAAATTTATTAAGAGAATACATTTTTTGAATTTTGTGAATTTTATAAATGAAGTTCATAAAATTAAATTAATATAACATTGTAAATTTTGAAGACAGTCACTTCACAAATATCATCGATTACGAAACATTATCCTGAACGCGATATTAATTAAACTATCAATTCACTAACCAATCTTCGTTTCAATGAACAGTGAGTTAACTAACGCATCGACAAATAGCCAACGCAATTTCAGCTTGAAATTACAGCTTAAAATATTCACCCCGCCATATTGGAACTAACATATATCCATCGTAGCGGACTCTGAAGGGATTATATAACCCGGATACGTATTTTTATCGTTGCTTTGCATTCAAATCACTGACCGTTTCTTCCGCCGACAAGAGAACAAAAAATCGATAAATTCTATTCTGTAATCGTAAAGACCGCCTACGCGTTCAAGTTCAGCCAAACTAAGGTGAGGGTCCCGGTCAACTGTGTGCGTCACACAAGATGACTTCCGGAAAATATGCACTTCCTTTCATACATAATCGCCCTAATATAATCACGCAATTATTATTTTTACATAAAAGATCAATTTTAAAGAAACAATCAAATGTTCAAATTTATTTTTATATTAAAAAGCCCTTTTATATGTAGTAAACTTCCAAAACTATCTCTAAATGGTTTTCAAATTAATGAAACCTTCCCAGAAAATCCAAAGTTCATTAAAAAGACCCATAAAAAATAAACCAAGATTTTCCTCATTTATCAAAAAAAATTTTGGAACCTTTTGCAAAATTCACTCACACAGAGCTTTGTAGAAGTCAATGCCCTTTCATTCAAAAAAAAAATCATCCAAATCGGACGAAAAATGCGGTCAGAAATTAGATTTGTTACCCAGACCGCTCCTCACCCCCACTCCTCGCCGCAACTCTTCTTGTGACGCGCACGGTGATTCGACGCTGTAACTCAATTAGAATGGCGTTACTGTATCTGGTCAATTGTACCAGCCGAGTCCATCTTTTGTATTAAAAGAAAGAATAAGAGACGTAAGACGCTCCATGGTTAGTGGATCACCGTCCTCGGTCCCATCCCTTCTGGTTCCATTTTGAAACGCGGTGATACTTTAGGCCGGCGGATTGTCTCGGTTGCAGCATCCTAGGGATGTACCTGTTCGGGGGTAAGTTTTGCATGTGGGCGGACCGGAGTCGGCCCTGCACCTGTGCCGAGGTGGTCTCGCGGCACCCGATGTGCCGCTGTGATCGCAAACATTTCAACGACATCGTCTGGGCACTTGTCACGGTCTTTCAGGTACCACCGTTCCCCTCTCTTACACCAAAAACACGGTATATGCGCTAAGTATTTAGATACACATGATACTGTCTTCTCCTAACTCTACCTTTTTTATGAGGGGGTGAATGTCATAGTATTTTAAGTCTTTCTTCGATATTTATGTAGAAGTTGAAATGCACGTTGCGAGGAGATTGAAGCTGTGGCGGTGTAAGTCGGATTTTTGCTTCTTTGTTGGTTAAGGATAGGTTGACTGCGATATATGTGGAGGATTGTAGTTATGGTAGACTGCAATATATGTGGAGGGTCATGGAGTAGTGATGCAATTGAGGATCTGATGACTTACACTGCTGTGACTTTTACCCCCTCATTTATAATATTATATTTGGACCTGTATGCCTTTGGACCTGTTTTTATCTTTGTCTCAGAGTCTGTCTCTTTGTCTCAATTTTTATTTCTGTTTTTATTTCTCTTTCTGCCTTTGTCTGTGTGTTTGTGTCTCTGTCTATGTCTCTGTCTATGTCTCTATGCCTCTGTCTATGCCTCTGTCTATGTCTCTATGTCTCTGTCTATGTCTCTATGTCTCTGTCCATGTCTCTGTCTATGTTTCCATCTGTGTCTCTGTCTGTGTCTCTGTCTATGTCCATGTCTCTGTCTATGTTTCCATCTGTGTCTCTGTCTGTGTCTCTGTCTATGTCTCTATCTATGTCTCTATCTATGCCTCTGTCTATGTCTCTGTCTATGTCTCTGTCTATGTCTCTGTCTATGTGTCTGTCCATGTCTATATCTATGTCCCTATGTATGCCTGTACCCATGTCTATATTCCTACATCATCCATGTCACTTTCTGACCATGTCTTTGTCTATGTCTCTGAATATGTCTATGTCTATGTCTCTATGTCTCTGTCTCTGTCTATGTCTATGTCTCTGTCCATGTCTCTGTCTATGTTTCCATCTATGTCTCTGACTTTGTCTCAGTCTTCTCTATGTCTATGTCTATGTCTATGTCTATGTCTATGTTTCTGTTTACGTTCTCATCTTTACTTATATCTTCACATTTATTTTTCTACCTATGTTTAAGTTTATTTCTGTTTCTCTGCTACTTCAAATAAAGAATGATCAAACCTTGCAATAGTCTTGTACAAATATTTACAACTTTGAAATATTTGGATACAAAACATTAAAATCTATAAACATTGATATCTTCAAATTTACAATGTCAACATTTTTAAGAGTCTTAAAATTTGATAAATTCATAATAATTTATAATTAACAATTTTTTAAAAAAAAATTTAAAAATTGATTCAACTTGGAAGTTTTTAAATCTGTGTATAATTTTTGCTAGCAAGATTCGATCGTTCAACCACGAAACACTCTATCTGTCCACACCTATCTCCACCAATTTCTATTCTTATTATACTAATATTTACGTCTATATCCACATCTGTACTCGTAGCAACGTGTGTTTACATCTATTTCCATATTACATACATGTACTCGTTACATAACTGTGTTTTGTTCCCGCTTTTTGTCTTCGTCCTATCAGCTTACATATTTTGATTTCTCGATATACGTCGGTATAAAAGAATTTCCACGGAATATTTCCGGTTTTCTCTCTGCGTTTACGTTCCACCGTAATCGAACGTAATAACAAATTTTCTTTCTTATTTTCTATCGTTTATATCTTGCACTAACTTCCCCATAATAAAATAACAGAGTGGATAATGGTTTGTTTGCCACGCGATTAACATGGTTTTGTTATCAGTCGAGAAGAAGTTAATCGATTACACGGATACCACGCTAGCCGTGTGTCTGACCCTTTTTTTGAAACGATAAATAACTGCATCACGTTGTTTTGCTTGTTGCTATGTATGGAAACACTACGATAAAAAGATTAAAATAAAGCTGTACTAATTAGGTAGCCGCTTTATCAGCCCGTTTCAGTCCAGCTTCCTCGTTCGAGGGCCTTAAATTTTCAGATCCTCTTTATCCCGTTAATTCGCCGTCGCGCAAAGCGTTTGTACGAAATAATTTGCGTACTTTCAACGTCACGGTCAAATGGCTCGGAAAAAATGTGAGAATAAATTTTTGAACGGCGACCGTGGACCGAAACTGGCTAAATACCGAACACAGAGAGAAATTCGTAGCATACCATGTAAGAAGAATGCGCGAGACGATACCGATCGATACACCCCTTTTTTCACTCGTCTTCATTTTTATTTTCCTTTTTTTTTCAAACTTTCGATCAGTAGAATTAGTGTATGAAGAACTCGAGCTGGTTCTCCTAGATGAGTGAAACGTTTCATTCGGAATAACAACAGATTTGATGTGAAACTTTGTTTGTTACGAATTAGAGAGTTTTGCTTTTACTATACGTCTCGCGATAGCAAGATGTTTGAAATGTGCATTGACAACTCTTTGTTTCTCTTTTCTCTTTTCATGTAGATTTTAACGCAGGAAGATTGGAACGTTGTGCTGTTCAATGGTATGCAGAAGACGTCGCATTGGGCGGCTCTTTATTTCGTCGCGCTGATGACTTTTGGGAATTATGTGCTGTTCAATCTGCTCGTCGCCATTCTTGTCGAAGGATTTTCTTCGGAGGTGAGAAGGGTTACTTAGTACATTGCAAGGGGAATGGAGAGAGGGCTGTAAGGATATTGGGACGTAGGAGTATTGAGACGCAGGAGTATTGAAACGTAGGGGTATTGGGGCGAGGGATACTGGGACGTAGGAGTGTTGGGGCGTAGGGATACTGGGAGGTTGAGGGACTAGGGCGTAGTGGTAATGGGACGTGGGGGTATTGGGACGTGGGGGTACTGGAGCGTGGGGATCGTGGAGCGTGGGGGTACTGGGACGTGGTGGTACTGGAGCGCGGGGATACTGGGACGTGGGGGTATTGGGACGTGGGGGTACTGGAGCGTGGGGATACTGAAGCGTGGGGATACTGGGACGTGAGGGTATTGGGGCGTGGGGATACTGGGACGTGAGGGAATTGGGGCGTGGGGATACTGGAGCGTGGGAGTATTGGGACGTGGGGGTATTGGAGCGTGGGGGTACTGGAGCGTGGTGGTATTGGGACGTGGTGATATTGGGACCTAGGAGTGTTGTAACGTAGGAATACTAAGACGTGGGTATATTGGAACGTACATGTATTGGGACCTAACAACGTTCAGATATAGGAATGCTAGAACCTATGTAGTCATATTGGGACGTAACCACATTAAGATGATAAAGAATATCAAAGATCATATAATATCGTTAGGAATCATAACATTTGGATATAAGAACATAGGAATAGGAATGTATATAGAGTACTAGTACCCTCTCAAATCATCCCTCACACAGAAGCTTGATAAATAAAAGGCACTTCCATAAATCTCCTCCGACACCCTAAAATTGAACGTAGACTATTAATAATACGTGTAATTCCTCAGAGAAACGAAAGAAGAGAAAGAGAACAAAGAGAAATGGCGAAGCTTGCTGCGAAGGAGGCTGGAATGGGCAGCGACGATGGATCGTCCAGAATATCAAGGTCCCATTCGATCACGGATAGCGATACTTGTACTCAGGTACAAATTAACAATTAACAAATTAACTAGTGTGAAATAATATTATTATTTTGTTAGATACACACATGTAGTCCATACATAACACCTTTAAATTAGTACTGGAGCGTGGGGATACTGGGACGTGAGGATATTGGGACGTGGTGGTACTGGAGCGTGAGGGTACTGGGACGTGAGGGTATTGGGGCGTGGGGATACTGGAGCGTGGTGGTATTGGGACCCAACGATATTGGGACCTAGGAGTGTTGTAACGTAGGAATACTAAGACGTGGGTATATTGGAACGTACATGTATTGGGACCTAACGGTACTGGAGCGTGGGGATACTGAAGCGTGGGGATACTGGGACGTGGTGGTACTGGAGCGTGAGGGTACTGGGACGTGTGGGTATTGGGGCGTGGGGATACTGGAGCGTGGTGGTATTGGGACCCAACGATATTGGGACCTAGGAGTGTTGTAACGTAGGAATACTAAGACGTGGGTATATTGGAACGTACATGTATTGGGACCTAACAACGTTCAGATATAGGAATGCTAGAACCTATGTAGTCATATTGGGACGTAACCACATTAAGATGATAAAGAATATCAAAGATCATATAATATCGTTAGGAATCATAACATTTGGATATAAGAACATAGGAATAGGAATGTATATAGAGTACTAGTACCCTCTCAAATCATCCCTCACACAGAAGCTTGATAAATAAAAGGCACTTCCATAAATCTCCTCCGACACCCTAAAATTGAACGTAGACTATTAATAATACGTGTAATTCCTCAGAGAAACGAAAGAAGAGAAAGAGAACAAAGAGAAATGGCGAAGCTTGCTGCGAAGGAGGCTGGAATGGGCAGCGACGATGGATCGTCCAGAATATCAAGGTCCCATTCGATCACGGATAGCGATACTTGTACTCAGGTACAAATTAACAATTAACAAATTAACTAGTGTGAAATAATATTATTATTTTGTTAGATACACACATGTAGTCCATACATAACACCTTTAAATTATTGAACCATACTTAATTCTTCAAGTTACACCATACATAATTTTTTAAGTTAACTTCATCTTTTTTCAACATTTTTCCAGTTATTTGCGCAAAATATTTTTTAAATTATATCATAATAATATATTCTATATTATAAATTAAATTGTAACTTCATCTGTAAAATATTCGTCTTCAAATAAATATCTGTGCTTCCAACGAAGTGTAACATTGTTGTTTAATAAAAGTACGAGTTTGAATTAAAAAATCGTAGGATCGGAAGAACTCCTGGCAGAGCGCGGAGGAGTTACGCAAATACAAAGACAACAACAGCCGCGAGAAACAGAACACCGTGTGGAAGCATCAAATGGACGAGCCGAAGTGTAATATTCAGAAGGAAAACAAAATGATGGGTGCCACGGGACAGCCGCCTATAATCACTCACACGGCAGCCACCCCCCAAGATTCGCCTAACACCACTCTCGACGTCGGCTACAGAGACGTGAACTGTCGAGCTGTTTATCCGACTGCGGCACTGTCGATTGAATCTATCGATCGATCTGGCGTACGTGTTTCTCGTACAACATTATGCAATTACTCATTTCAGGGAAAATAATGGAGAGTTAACTTTAATTTAATTTTGCTATTCATTTTTACAGAGTCAGTGCAGCATACCTTCAGGGTTGTTGAAGCTACCGGACGTTTCGAATAAAATACCGACTAAAAATCTTATAGCTGGACAATTTTCTCAACGAATAAGTCTTGTTACTGCTGTTGTTAATCCTGCTACGAGAGAATTGTCTAGCTCGAGGTAAGTAAGGTTAGATATATTTGTGTACATTCTAAGTTTGGACAATTATGAGACACTTCATCAAGTTGGTTAGGTTAGGTTATATTTGTATATATTCAAAGTTTGGACAATTATGAGACACTTCGTCGAATTGGTTAGATTAGGTTAGGTTATATTTGTATACATTGAAAGTTTGGACAATTATGAGACACTTCATCACGTTGGTTAGATTAGGTTAGGTTATATTTGTATACATTGAAAGTTTGGACAATTATGAGACACTTCATCAAATTGTTTAGATTATGTTAGGTTATATTTGTATACATTCAAAGTTTGGACAATTATGAGACACTTCGTCAAGTTGGTTAGATTAGGTTAGGTTATATTTGTATAAATTAAAAGTCTGGACAAATTATAAGACACTTCATTAAGTTTGATTTATTATTGTATGGTAAATGTAGAATTTATTTTCATTCAAGTCCTCCAAGAATACAGAGGGGATACTCGTGGAAATTATCGCGGCCATCTTTGAGAAGGAAGCGTTGGTCGCAGACAGAAGATGAGGACCCAGGTCGAACCACTGTTTTAAATAACGGTCGAAGTACTCTACTTGGTTCCAACTCAACGTAAGATCAGAACTTTTCAAAATTAAAATAATTTTGTATAGTTTTGAGAATATATAGGAAGTCATTATTAATGGGACACCTTGTAGGTGTACATACAGGGTGCACAATAAATAGAAATTTGACTTAATTTGGATTTGTGCAGTTTTATTAGTGCTTTTGGAGTATTTTGTTATAATAATGTTTTGCTATTGTGTTGTAAATTTAATTTGCAGCTTCAATGGCGGTTATTTGCATGGTTCGATAAGAAATGATACGCAGAGTGACACGCCAAATAATAGAACGACCGTCCTAACAAGCAATACTCGTAGTCTCAGCCCCAATAATTCAATTGAAAGTCGTAGTTCTTCTATACGACGGTATACTGCAACGCCTAATCAGGTGGGTAACCTCCAAATCTCCAAGTCTCCAAATCTCCACATCTCCAAATTTCCAAATCTCCAACTCTCCACGCGTCCAAGTTCCTAAATCTCCAACTCTCCACGCGTCCAAATTCCTAAATGTCCAAATTTCCAAATCTCCAACTCTCCACGCGTCCAAATTCCTAAATCTCCAAATTTCCTAAGTCTCCAACTCTCCACGCGTCCAAGTTCCTAAATTTCCAACTCTCCACATCTCCAACTCTCCACGC